CGCTCTTCGCCTCCGGCTGGCGTTCCTTTCGTTTTCCTTTCGTATGTATACGGCCATCCGTCGCGTCGCGTCGCGTCACCTCGGTGGTGTCCCCGAAGGACGCTTCCCGTCGTTCGTGGATGCACAAAACGTCCCTCGATTCTCGCGTAGCGCACCGAGAACAGCCGCGCGCACTTTTCTCCTTAGATTCTCACCGTCGTAACGATAATAACGACCAACGACGACGGCGTCGATGAGGGCAACGCGGCCGCCGAGGTTCTCGATGAGATGTTCGCTTCTTCGAGCGAACGAACGAACGGGTAGACGGACGTACGGAAATCGAGTTGACCGTAAACGAATTACTACGCACTTCCGACACAGGGGTATCGCACGGTTCGGTCACGGAGAACTATTCGCGAATCGTAGACAGATCGCGGAAGAATAGACAGGAACTGAATTCCTCGTCCTGTCACAGTTCCGAGGATGACGACGATGGTTGGGACTCTCCGTGGCGTTGCTGGATGGCGATACCGAGACGGTGTTTTTGACGAGGCACGATTTCGTTCGTGCCTCGTATCTAGCCTCCCCGATGATCCGGGCTCGGCCTCATTGAACCCCGTAAAACCTCGATGAACATTGATTGTTCAAAACGATGCAGATATAACGGCGTGCAGCCGCGAACTTTTGTCTCTCGGATGGTGTATATGTGTGCGTGCGTGCGTGCGTGCGTGCGCGTTTGTTTGTTCGTTGCGCCACGTTGCAGGCTCCCTTCGTCCGAGGCGTCGGACTTAGGAGCAGAATGAACGCGAACTAGCCGCGTCGAGACAGTTCGGCGGCCACGGTGGCTACGAGTTGCTGGAGTAGCTGCCGTTGCGTGCCTGCAGGTAATGATGATAGAACGGAGGGAGCGTGTCCGGCGGCGACGATGCCACCGGATTGTTCACCGAGTTTTGTGAGGTTATCGAGAGGCCCAACGGGGGAGGCCCGGGCGAACGCTAGTGAGCCGCCAACGAGTGGGCCGTGAGACCCTGAGGACTGAGCATCGGCGGACTATGGCTGTGTCCCATAGGCGATCCATGAAGGTGATCTTGCGGATGGTAACCCTGATGAAGACCCGGTTGTCCCTGGTGTCCCGGCGGCATTCCCTCCATGATACCGTCGCCGAGCGTGTTCGGCGGCGTCATCCTCTTCTCCTTTTGCCGTCGGTTGCAGAACCACACCCTGACCACCTCTTTCTCGAGCTGCAGACTGTCCGCCAGCGAGGTGATCTCCTGGGCGGATGGTTTCGGCTGTTTGTGAAAGTGTTGCTCGAGGGCGCCTTTCACGGACACCTCGATCGAGGTGCGCTTCTTCCGTTTCCTTCCCTGGGCGGCGATCTTGTCGATGCTCGTCGGCGAGCCGGTCGTCGAGTCCGCCTCCTCTAACCACTTCTGCAGCAGCGGCTTCAGCTTGCACATGTTCTTGAAGCTCAGCTGAAGAGCCTCGAACCTGCATATCGTCGTCTGCGAGAAAACGTTACCGTAGAGTGTACCGAGCGCTAGACCGACGTCCGCCTGGGTAAAACCGAGCTTGATACGACGTTGCTTGAACTGTTTCGCGAACGCCTCGAGGTCGTCCGAGGTCGGCGTCTCGTCCTCGCCGGCGCTGTGGTCCCGGTCGTGCGCGTGACCCGGGTGCAACGCGTGACCGACCGGCGAGCCCGGATCCCTTAGGTTCGGATGGAGTCCGGTCTGGTGATTGTGCAGCTGAGGATGATGTTGATGCGGGTGCGGGTGTAGCATACCGTTCATCGCGGCATGATACTGTTGAAGGGTGGTGGGCGAGGCCGCTCCACCGCTCTGATTGTAATGGGCCGACGGTACGACAGGCGCGTGCCAAGGATGCGGCGAGGCCATTCCCGGCGATTGATGAGGACCGCCGCGATGTGCGTGCATCGACTGGTCGTTTGCCGCGGCCGCGGCCGCAGCGGCGGTCGCCGCCGCCGCTGTCAACGGTTTCACATCCAAACCGGCTGTGTTCCCCTGGTGCGGATGATGGTGCGGATGATGGTGCATACCCATCGAGGACGCCCAGTGGTCGCTGCTAGGTTGCAGGCTCACCCAGGGATTCGCCGACGAGAGGCTCGCCGTCGGATGCGACAACCCATTCGGGGACGGCGACGACGACACCTGGTGATGATGATGATGATGGTGATGATGTTGCGGCGCCGGCATGTACTTCATCTCCCCGGCGTCGGCGGCGCTGCGAGGCGAGCTCGAGGAGTAGCCACCCACGGCGATGTTCATCCCGATCGCGTTTCCCGAACCAACATCCAGGTCGGTCGACACTGCGCTACCAATCGGCATGTACGTGGTAGCGGCCATCTACTTCCCCTCGTCCAGAGGTACGCGAAACCCACTCTGTTCGTTTGCTTCTCGGCACCCTTTCAGCTCGCGCTTCGGTCTCCCTCCTACTAGATTACGTTCGGGCTGCCCCGGGCAGGGCACCCCTTCGCTTAACTTCACCGCCGCTAACTTTTATTCTCGTTTCGCGTTTCTTCCGTTTCTCGTCCTGTGGCCGTTGCCAACTAGGATCGTTTCTACTCCTTTGTTAAAGTCTTTCTCGTCTATCGTTGCCAAACACACCACCACCAATCGCGTATCGATCGAACCTTTCGGAGATTCGAGAATTAAACAGTACGATCTCCAACGAAGAACCACGCCGAGTCCTTCCTTCTGCGTCCCAACAATCCTTCTTCGCGGCCACGTAGAACAAACGACTCGTTCTCGTCAGTGATCACGAGTCACACGTTGCGCACAGTCCATCGTTCTCGAGGACACTCCGAAACTCTGGTGAGCGACATCATTCCGCGTGAAAACAACTCGTAGTCCATAGCTTGTTGAAAAGTGAACGATGGCAAATCCTTGACAGCAGATACTGGCACGCGAAACTAGCTCTTCTCCAGATGAGACTTCTCGTCCTCCGGGGACCGTCCCCGTCGGAGAACGGGGATGTTCAGCCGGTCTGCGGCTTCACGAACCTCCAAAACGACTGGGTTCACCCTCGTGGCAGGTATGTCTTTCCTTCGACTACCCGCGACAAAGACACCTAGCCTAGTGCCCGAGTAATCGTCGATAAACCGAATCACTCGCGACGTCGATCGGGGGTTCTTTGCCGGAGAGATCACTCATCACCGGGGTCGTGTTATCACTGACAGTGCTCGGTGACACGAGCGCGCGGCGGTTACTCGTCGAGAACCGTGGTAGCACGACGGGACGACACTCGCGGAGACCACGACGGACACGATCGGTATACTCCGGGGACGCGAAACGGATCCACGACAACGAGTGCCGGACGAGCACCAGAACCAGAAGCAACCACGGTAGACCGAGTAAAAGGTGCACACTGTGTGTGGTGTCTCCGGTGCGCGTGTTGTACGCTTTCCTCGCGCACGGTTTGTCTCTCCCGGTGCGAGTGTGTAGACGCGAGAGCACGAGAGAGAGTGTGAGAGAGAGAGAGACAGTTTGTGTGTATGTGTGTGCGCGCGAGAGGAGAGACGACGGCTCGCAAAAGATCTCGCTCGAGCTCTCTCATGCGTTATGCATGTCGTAGCTGAGAGCGACTGACTGCCTCGCCTCGCAGCTCGCTCGAGGTTCCCGAGGCTCCCGGACCACCGTTCGGTGGAACCGACTCATGCGCGCCACCGTCCTGCACATCCCCACCGAGACCCGATGTACGAGCTTCTATTGGCTCCGCTGGCAAGGTGGCCGTCGACGAACGTCACCGTCGGGCGGAACCTGGTTGGACCGCGCCTCCGTGGCAACCTACGCACCCCAGGCGCCACTACTCTCACCCCTGTCGTCCTTTCCTCTCGTCGCCCCTACCCCCCGTTTCAGCCAGCAGTCGACTCGATTCGAACCCGAGTAGTCGAGTCGAGTCGTCTACCGTTCGATTCGACTCGACTCGACTCTGCACAACCAACGCGGGTGTCTCTGTCGAATGGTAAAATCGACAATCGGTTCTGTGTCTGTGACACGAAATTTTCCAAACCCTTCCCGTTTTTCACATTACACTTCTATAATGTCCTTTCCATCCAAACATGGTCGGTTACATTCCCGAACGTAGAACCACCGGTACTCGCGGGAGCTGCGCGCGCAACAGGTCCTAATTTCGCGCGAGAAAATCCGCGAAAAACGAATATCTTTCTGACGGCAGCCGAACCGCCGCATAGTTTTGCTTGCTGTTCGCGTAGCTCGCGGTGCAACAGGTGCAACGTACTGGGAGTTCTCGACTGTATCGGGACGCTGTTCGCTTACAATTTTTCGGCTCGTCTCGAACAACCTCGAAACCCAAGTGGACCGATTACGAAACCGGGTTCAAGTTTGAAAAAATGAATACGAAAAAATGCGCGATCCTGTGCAACAGGTACTCGGTCGTGACGATTAATTAGATAGAAAAACGAACCGGCGTGCCTCCCCCAGATGGGGGTGGTATCAATAGAAACGGCCGAATAAAAAAGGCTGTTTCGTTGAGCGCGAACTAGCGGCGAGCGAGCGGTTAAGGGGGAGGAAGGGAGAGACCGAGCCGGCGAGCGAGGTTTAGTACATTTAAATGAGAGCCACAGGTAGCAGCATTATGCAGTACGTGCCAGCCACCCCTCAGGAGGGGTGAGTTAGATCATCGTGTGCCGGGGATCCCCCTGTGTCGTACCGTTTCAGCTACCCAGCTGGCTTTGCGCCTTCGCACCTGTGGGCACCATCGAGCTCCGCAAAGGCCACCGCACGATTCGCGATCATCTTTCTTCCCTCTTTCGGTAAATACTTCACAAACACGACACTCGGACAACTAGATCGCCACAGACCTTACTTGGCTTCGTCATCGAACGATCATCGTAATCGAAAATCTGGTTACAGTCCGTTCCACTCTTCCGTGGTCGACGGAATGTTTTCCATTATCGTCACGGCTGATACGTTACTTTCATAAAGCGTCGCAAACCTGCGTCGACAGTACACGTCCTTCGCGATTTTTCAACGAAAGGAAATTTTTTTACGAACATCGTATTGCCGTTCGACGATTTTAACGCGATACCGGCACGCACGTCCCCGGGCTATCGGCGCGTAATATCGACTGACATCGCGGAAGAGTACGAAAAGAGCGCGATACCTCTCTCGTGGTTCGCTCGCGAACAGGTAAGTATAGCCGAGCCTTCCACCGAACCTAGGAATTTTGAGCGCACCTCCGTATGCCAATTATGTATGCTCGGCTCTGTCATTTACGCGGTTCGTTATTACACGCCGTGCGCGGGCCGTTTCGTTGGAATTACGAGCATTTTAATGCCAGCCCGCTATTATCGCATCTTTGCCAACTTTATTACACGCGCGAACGTTTTGGATCGCGCAGCCTTAAGATCTTGTCCACGGTTCGCGAAGCATTCGCCCGCGGGTCTCTCCAATTTTGTCACCGACCACTCGATTTCTTTTTCTCGCGACATTCGGCTCGCCGAGAAAAACCCAGTCAGCCGCGATTTCCTTTCGTTCCTCCGACACGTCGACGTGACGTCTCGATCGATCGAGACGGGCCACCTTCGAGTAATGCACCCTTAATTCGATTTCGCGCAGCCCCATTGTGTCAAATTGGATCGAACGTTGCCGTGAAATATTTGCTTAGGACCCGACAGGTAGCGAGTTCTCCCTGGTTGCGCGCCGCAAGGGGTGAGACTGTAAGATCGAAGTTGGCGGAACAGAGACGAAGGGAGGAAACGAGGGAGCGCAACCAGCAACGGCCTGTTCCGCTGCGCTCCACGTGAAAACACTTTACTACCTGAACGTTTGCTTGCATAATTTAGCCGGTCTTTTCTGACCCAACGGCGGTCCAGGGGGGCGCGGTCCGGCTGCACCTTGTCCTGTGCCCGGAGCAGCACCTTCGTGGGGTGCGAAAACATTTGTGAAAAACATCGGGGACACGAAGCCCCACTTCGTTCTCGGTGACGTTAAACCAGCCGCTACTGTCACGGTGAAGGTACACTCGAAGAAGACTATAGACACTTCGACTGGTCGTCTCTACTTCCCTCCGTCGATTTAATAATAATTTTTAAATAGTCGATGACAACGGGAACCGCATATGTTGGACGACCGAAATTAAATTCGAGGTACTCGAGAACGATCGAACTTCTTATCGTCTGGAAACATCGCCATGAAATATAGGGTATTCTGTAATGGGCATGGCCAAAGAGGGGACGACGATTGCACCACCTTCTGGAGCATAGCTCATATATTTGCATACGAAATCCCTCCGGTCGATCTGTCGATAGTTGTCGCGTCCCTTTAGAAAAACGGTGACCGAACGTTCCGATCGTAGATTCGAATGGGAACGCCATAACAAATCGACTGCGATCGAGCGTGGCGACAGTTCAAACTGCCCGATAATAGAATCGAAAAGTGGAATTAGTTAAATGAACAAGATTACGTTTCGGTCAGGGATCAACGTTCGCGAGAGATCTTTCGGAATAAAAAGTGGGGAAATCGTGTACACACGGATCTCACGGCCAGAATAAAAGAGACAGAGAGCACACGACCGGTCGCGAGAAGTTTGGGAACCAGACCATTTCGAACGTGTCGTAGGTCGTGTCGGCCGTAAAAAAGAACGATTGTCGCGACCCTCGTGCGTGAATGGATGACGGTAACCGGCGTAATTTCACCGCCTTTATGCTTCGAATGAATATTTTAATATTTTAATACGAAATACGCTACGAGGGATTTTACGGCGGGCCGCTATAGCTTTTCCTCGTGGCGGGTAGCCGCGAACGCTTCGTGGCCGTCGTCGAGCTTTCCCTTCGGTATCGAGAGGGAAATGGTGGGAGAACAATCGGCGGGGAAAAGAAACGGATAAAGGGTCGACACAGAGACGCGATAAGACGCGGAAAGAGAGAGTAGATCGAAATGGGAAACAGCGAAAAGGAGAAGGAACCTGGCCTAGAACCATGGAAGGGGACAGAGAAACCGTTCGAGTGGGGATGAAACGTAACAACGGGCGGGGACGGAGCGATCAGAGGGGAAACGAGAGAAAGGGAGAACCGTTCGTGGAGTGAGAGAGAGAGGGAAACTATGGTTAGTGAGAAAATTGGTCGTCAGATGGCAGCAACGCGTGGTGTTTTTACCCTACAAGGGTGGAAAAATTTTTTCCGACATCCCTTCGGCGAGGATTTTCCGAACGACCGAGGGGTATTGTTGGTAACCGTGCTGCCATCCCGCGGGAACAGGTGAAACTTCTTTCGCTGCAACCGTTGGTAAACCGCACGATCGACCATCGAGTACGAAAACCATTTTCAAATGAACAAAACAAAACGAATGTGTATGTAAATGTTCCGCCTGCGTTTCATAGATATTCTATATCGCAATATACATTTAAACTTTTCGAACGATGACGATCGACACGATGGACGAAATCGAAGAATCGTTC